TATCAGCAATATACATTGCAAGAGTAGCCTTATAATAACTCCTTTCTTCATATAATTTTAAAAAAGTAAAATATGAAGGCCTTATTATATTACTTGTATATTTTTTTAGGTTTATGACATAGATCAATGTATTAAGTGTCCATTAAAGCTGTTTCTAAAATCCTCGGTAAATTAGTTTGGCTCACATCATTTTTGGAGCAAACCCTATATTTTACCCTATAGCGAGGCCTATCTTAGTTACTATGGCAACGACGAATGTAAAAGTTACTGATCCTGCGTCAGCTGAGGATGTTCCATCATATTTGACTCAAATATGATGATAAAACCTTTAAATTGAAAAAAATGTTTTTAGGGTGGAAGACCCCCTTAATATCTTTATCTTTTATTAATAATATATTTATATCGTATTTTGTACAACTTGCAAATCTACCGGCAGACATGCTGAAACAGCTCTCGCGTCAATTGTTTTATTAGACATGAGATTTATATCGAGGACGCGGACGTCAAAGACGACGTGAAAATGGCGCGTTGTGCCCGTGTATGGATATGCCACGCTATTTTTACGCCATTTTCACGTCGTCTTTGACGTCCGCGTCCTCGATCTAAATCTGTCTATTGTTGACCGGTTATCCCCTCACCACAAGCATGCAATGAACATGACGTTTTGTAGACTGGCATGTGATACGGTTTGTCTAATCGGCAAACAGGAAAATTGAACTTTGGCACTTGCTATATAATAAATTAATGTATTCATGCCTCACTCAAGTTGTTTAGAATTCATTATTAAACCATAACCCAGCCCACAATTAAAGAAAAGAAAATATAAAACAAAATCTGAAAAATGAAAACATCTTGAAAAATGAAAATGGAAAATGATAACCCAGGATATGAAATAAAACAAGTAACGTTTAAACGGTTATACATGCAGAGTGTATCAGAAAGAAGTGCACAGTTCTAAAATTAAAAATGCTGACAACGTTATGTTAGTACGGGTAGTTTGAGTTCTTGCATCTCTATAACAAAATTATTAGAGGCAAATTTTCTAGTGCAGCAGTGCTGATTTTTAAAACCACTTTAAAAACGCCTTGCGCACAAAAAATGGAAGGTTTGAAGAGCAATTTGAATTCATATGGTGTAAATTTGGAAGGTGTTTCATGAACTATATCAAATTCCCGGACAATTTGATGTACATGCATTGAGTCCAACGCGCAACCTCTAAAACTTGGATCTTTTGCCGTAGCAGCCTTTCAAGAAAAATTGTTAAAAATTATAAATTATGCGTGAAGAGCTATTTTGGCAAAAATGTCCAAGTTTTAGAGGTAACGTGTTGGACTTAGAGTACATCAAATTAATATATTACGGACTGTTAAGTAAATTTAACTTTGAAAATACATATACAATAAATCTGATTGGTTGTAACCATAGCATAAATGATAACAATGCCTTACGTAAGAGATTGCTATTATTTGAGCAATAGCAAAGGCGTAGGAAGCTTGTAAAAATTTCGAAAATTTGAATCTCCAGATCGTCGGAAATGGCATTTTCAGGGTAGGGTGTTCTCTAAAACTTTCGTTCAGCCCTTTTAAATTCTGTCATTATGATTTGTAAGCTATAAATGTTTTACTTCATCGTTTGCGACTGCCCTAGATGATAACTATTTGGGCAAGTAAATACTGCTGCCTAACAAGCAGCATAGACTGAAAACATCCAATGACAAAAGACAAAAAGTAAACAAATATTAATAGACAAAAAATTTTGCTATTAGAATAACAATAAACAATTGCGGATACATTATTAATATGATATATACCGTTTCAAGTACTTCCAGTTTCGACAATTTCGCAGTAATTTTTCATTATTTTTTTAAATCCAATATTTTTTTTTTTTTGGGGGGGGGGGCGAAATCTATCCCACCCCACTTATAAAATATTTGGGGGCCTCCCCCGGCCCCCCTGCTTCCTACGCCCCTGAGCTATAGTTACAATCTATCACGCTTATTGTATATACATGCATCTAAATGTTTAAATTTAATTAATAATGAAATGTGTTTTTGTTGATTACAACCAGTGAGCTCGATATATATTTGGAGCGAGAACTCGAGTCCGAAAAGTGAAGCTTAGTTTCGTGTAAACCACGCAGACAATAACAATAGAAAGGGACTGGAACTGACGTCCAATACCTCCTTCAATTTCCGCCATCTTGGCAAGGAGTGTGCCGATATTTCGTATTTTGACATCGATTTAAAGAATAACACTATGGTTTTATGAACTGAATAGCTATTGGACGTTAATGGCCGTTATCTTGGCATCACTTTTCTCATAGACCAAATGACTGAAGTTCTTGCTCCAGATATATATGGAGCACGCTGATCACAACATGATTCTGAAACACTCGAATTACTATTTCTTGAGCTACAGTAGCTCTCTGACGAATGCACTCACAAAACATGCCTATCATATCTCCCTCGTTCACCCCCTGTATTTATCACCCACCTGTCTTGTCAAAGCCATGTGTGATTTCATGGCCTACAACCATACCAAGAGATCCATAATTCAACGCCCTGAAATACAAAAGAGCCAACGTTAAAAGTTACAATAAAAGTTGCAATAAAAGTAAATGAAAACAAAAGAGTGCATTACTTCAGCCTGTCGTGTTTGTAGAAAGGTGGTTGTAATATTCCTGCCAAGACAGCTGCAAGGTAAACAATAAAAAATTTCAGTAAGGTTATCGTAAAAAACAAATAACTAGACAGAAAGCAAGAATAAAAATAAAGAAACAAAACAAAAAATGAAGGAAGTGAGAAATGGATGTACTACACTGCAATAGAAATGGGAGGTTAACTTTTTACCGTTCTTGCCGAGTTGAACACATGACGTAATACTGACAAAACATTTCATTGTTCTTTCACAGAAAAGCTTTGTTGTACCGTTGTTGTACGCATACCGGAATATATTGGCAGAAATTGTTTTGTTTCGTCGCAGTTTTGTTCTGGTCACAGAAAGAAGTTATTTTTCCAAGCAAACTTCAATGAGATACCATTCATGGTGATGGGTTGATTGATAGGCACATATTTATACGCAAGTTTAAGTTAGGTGATTGATATAGATAATATACGAATTAAGTAGGTTTGTACATAGCTACATATAGGTATAAAAGAGAGAAAGGAAAATAACTTAATTAAGGGCGTGGAAGAGCATGAGAGAAAACAAAAAGAAAGAAGAAAAGAAAAGAAAAGAAAAAAGAAAAAAAACGAAAAAAGAAACGAAACGAATGGAAAACAAACAAACAAACAAACAAACAAACAAACAAACAAACAAACAAACAAACAAACAAACAAACAAACAAACAAACAAACAAACAAACAAACAAACAAACAAACAAACAAACAAACAAACAAACAAACAAGAGAAGAAGACAAGGAAATGACATGATTGGTTGAAGAAAAGAGGAAGAATGAGTAGAAAAAGAAAGTAATAACTGAATAACTTACTCATCCCATTTGCTTCAGGATTATAAAATGCGTTGATTGAGAGGTAAGTTATTGATGAGAGCCCACAGAGAAATTGTTATTACACAAAAGATAAACTTTCAGACAAATGGAGGAAATTTCCATCTTGATAAGAATATTATATTATACAACAATCTAAATATTTAAACCTAATTTTAACGTCAACCCTTTTCCAAATTCTGATCTCTTCACCCAGTAACGTCATTTCAGGCCGCAAACTTTGGAGGGGGGGGGGGGGGGG